TAACCCACTGAGCCACCCAGGCGCCCCTGAATGGGTTGTTTTAAAAGATGCTGATGATTTAAGGATCAAAGCACTTTGTTCTGTGTGTCTGATCAGACCTGCATTTATTTATTTTTCTTTAATTTTTTATTTTTTATTAACGTATAATGTATTATTAGCCCCAGGGGTACAGGTCTGTGAATCATCAGGCTTATACACTTCACAGCACTCACCATAGCATATACCCTCCCCAATGTCCATAACCCCACCACCTTCTCCCTACCCTCCTCCCCCTGGCAACCCTCAGTTTGTTTTGTGAGATTAAGAGTCTCTTATGGTTTGTCTCCCTCCCAATCCCATCTTGTTTCATTTTTTCCCTTCCCTACCCTCTAACCCCTCCACGTTGCCTCTCAAATTCCTCATAACAGGGAGATCATATGATAATTGTCTTTCTCTGATTGACTTATTTTGCTCAGCATAATACCCTCTAGTTCCATCCACACCATTGCAAATGGCAAGAATTCTTTTCTTTTGCTGGCTGCATAGTATTCCATTGTATATATATATACCACCTCTTCTTTATCCAATCATCAGTTGATGGACATTTGGGCTCTTTCCATAATTTGGCTATTGTGGACATTGCTGCTATAAACATTTGGGTACACCTGCCCCTTCGGATCACTACATTTGTATGTTTAGGGCAAATACCCAGTAGTGTGATTTCTGGGTCATAGGGTAGCTCTATTTTCAACTTTTTGAGGAACCTCCATGCTGTTTTCCAGAGTGGTTGCACCAGCTTGCATTCGCACCAACAGTGTAGGAGGGTTCCCCTTTCTCCACATCCTTGCCAGCATCTGTTGTTTCCTGGCTTGTTAATTTCAGCCATTCTGACTGGTGTGAGGTCATATCTCATTGTGGTTTTGATTTGTATTTCCCTGATGCTGAGTGATGTGGAGCACTTTTTCATGTGTCTGTTGGCCATCTAGATGTCTTCTTTGCAGAAATGTCTATTCATGTCCTCTGCCCATTTCTTTTCTTTTTTTTTTTTTTTAATTTCTTTTCGGCGTAACAGAATTCATTGTTTTTGCACCACACCCAGTGCTCCATGCAATCCGTGCCCTCCTTAATACCCACCACCTGGCTCTCCCAACCTCCCACCCCCTGCCCCTTCAAAACCCTCAGATTGTTTTTCAGAGTCCATAATCTCTCATGGTTCACCTCCCCTTCCAATTTCCCTCAACTCCCTTCTCCTCTCCATCTCCCTATGTCCTCCATGTTATTTGTTTTGCTCCACAAATAAGTGAAACCGTATAATGATTAACTCTCTCTGCTTAACTTATTTCACTCAACATAATCTCTTCCAGTCCTGTCCATGTTGCTACAAAAGTTGGGTATTCATCCTCTCTGATGGAGGCATAATACTCCATAGTGTATATGGACCACATCTTCCTTATCCATTCGTCCGTTGAAGGGCATCTTGGTTCTTTCCACAGTTTGGTGACCGTGGCCATTGCTGCTATAAACATTGGGGTACAGATGGCCCTTCTTTTCACTACATCTGTATCTTTGGGGTAAATACCCAGTAGTGAAATTGCAGGGTCATCAAGATCAAAAGCTTCTGCACAGCAAAGGAAACACTCAACAAAACAAAGAGGCAACCCACTGAATGGGAGAAGATATTTGCAGATGACAGTATAGACAAAAGGTTGATATCCAGGATCTATAAAGAACTTCTCAAACTCAACACACACAAAACAGATAATCATATCAAAAAATGGGCAGAAGATATGAACAGACACTTCTCCAATGAAGACCTACAAATGGCTATCAGACGCATGAAAAAATGTTCATCATCACTAGCCATCAGGGAGATTCAAATTAAAACCACATTGAGATACCACCTTACACCAGTTAGAATGGCCAAAATTAGCAAGACAGGAAACAACGTGTGTTGGAGAGGATATGGAGAAAGGGGAACCCTCTTACACTGTTGGTGGGAATGCAAGTTGGTGCAGTCACTTTGGAGAACAGTGTGGAGATTCCTTAAGAAATTAAAAATAGAGCTTCCCTATGACCCTCTGCCCATTTCTTGATTGGATTCTTTGTTCTTTGGGTGTTAAGTTTGATAAGTTCTTTATAGATTTTGGATACTAGCCCTTTATCTGATATGTCATTTGCAAATATCTTCTCCTGTTCGGTCAGTTGTCTTTTGGATTTGTTGACTGTTTCCTTTGCTGTGGAAAAGCTTTTGATCTTGATGAAGTCCCAACAGTTCATTTTTGCCCTTGTTTCCCTTGCATTTCACAATGTTTCTAGGAAGAAGTTGCTGTGGCTGAGGTTGAAGAGGTTGCTGCCTATGTTCTTTTCAAGGATTTTGATGGATTCTTTTCTCACATCGAGGTCCTTCATCCATTTTGAGTTTATTTTTGTGTGTGGTGTAAGGAAATATACGTGCACTTATTTTTTATGTGTTAGCAGGTTATTGATAGCCCAAGTAACAAGATTCAGGCAGTTATTCTGAAATTGACTTAAAGATTATCTGGGGTTATTATCTGTGTTTTAAAAATGTAAAAGCAGCATTTATTTGTTACTCTGGAAATATAGAAAAGGCTGGATCAAAAAACGAAGCAGAATACAAACACTGGTAATGTCTCCACTTGGGTTTGTAACATTTTAGAGTATTTCTTTCCAGCCTTTTTTTTTTCTATGTAGACACACACATTTTGATTTCTTTATTTGACTTGATTAGATCAACATGTCACAAAATGCACTATGAGGAACATTACTTTTTAAAAAGATTTTATTTATTTATTTATTTAGAGAGAGCATGTGGGAGCATGCAAATGGGGGAGGGAAGAGGAAGAAACCCAAGCCGACTCTGTACTGAGCATAGAACCCAATGTGGGGCTTGATCTTACAACCCTGAGATCATAACCTAATCCAAAGTCCGAGTCAGAAACTCAACCAACTGAGCCACCCGGGTGCCCTGAGGAACATTACTCTTATAATGTGCCCTGTGGTAAAAAGTTTTTGTGGTCATCAGTTTGGAAAAGACAATTTTCTCAATTTAGAAATTCACAATTATCTTAAAAGTTTACCAAAAATTAATAATAGGTGGCTCACACTGATGTGTGATTTGTTTAAAGACTGGATTATTTATTTCCTGAAATTTTCTCAAATTACTTGGGTGACTTCATTTTCACTTAAATTCTAGTATCCTTATTTTAAAAAAAAAGAAATTCATAATTCTCATTGGGATGTTCTAAACTTTGGGTTAAGAAACTTCTCTAGCTGGCATGCTGGATGGCTCAGTCAGTTAAGCATCTGCCTTGACTCAGGTCATGATCCCAGGATCCTGGAATCAAGTCCTGCATCATACTCCTTGCTCAGCAGCGAGCCTACTTCTCCCTCTGCCCCTCCCCCACTGCTCATGTTCTTGCTCTCTCTCTCTGACAAATCAGTCAATCTCTCTAGCTTTCTCCAAACCAATTTGATCCAGGAATCCTTACAAAGTCAACATTCTGAATAAGTATTTGATGATAATAGTATTGCTGTCAATGATTATATAACTTACAGTCTACCAGAGTTTGCCATTTTTTATCTGCACCAACCAGCAAAGTGATCTTGCTTTCTGTGCTATGTGATTGCACTCTGCTACAGACTTGAGATACCCTTTCTGCTGAACTGAAAGGAAGTAACAGAGGACACTGCCTAAGAGCCCCAGCTCTCAAATGCCATGCCTTGGTTTTAATATCTGTAAAACGAGGTTCATGAAAGTATCCATCTTAAAAGATTGTTTTTTGCAGAAACTGACATATCCGATATAAAGCACTTATCCCAGGCTTAGGGATGTTAAGTGCTCAAAAAATATTGGTGGTGTGGCTATACAATTTTTAAAAAAAGATTTTATTTATTTAGGGGCACCTGGGTGACTCAGTCCATTGAGCATCTGCCTTCAGCTCAGGTTATAATCCTGGGGTTCTGGGATCAAGTCCCACATTGGACTCCCTGCTCAGTGGGGGACCTGGCTCTCCCTCTGCTGCTCCCCCTGCTTATGCTCTCTCTCTTTCTCTGTCAAGTAAATAAATTAAATATTTTTTATTTATCTATAAATAAATTTTTATTTAAATTAAAATTTATTGATAAATTTTTATTTACCTATAAATTAAAAAAGATTTTATTTATTTTATTTATTTAAAAAGATTTTATTTATTTATTTGGCAAAGAGACAGAGCACAGGAAGAGGGTCTGAGGGAGAGAATCTCAAGCAGAACCTCTGCTGAAGGCAGAGCCCAACACGAACACCAGTTCAATTTGGGGTTCAATCTAATGAGTCTGAGATCATGAGCTGAGCCAAAATCTAGTCGTTTCATCAACTGAGCCATCCAGGTTTCCCAAGTGGCTATAAAATTAATAGCAGTAGTAGTAGCAACAGTAATAAACATTATAGTGACAACAGTAGCAATAGTAGTGGCAGTAGTAAGTAGCAGTGCTGGTGAAAATAGCAGTAATGGTGATATTTAGTGTAGTAGCTGTATTAGTAGGAGTGTATTAACATCCTCTTGCTCTTTGGAAGTATAAGTATAGAGAATTAATTCATCTTTGAAATTAAGCCCAAGTCAAATGAATTCAATTTTGTAATTTTGAGATGGCTTATAAAACAATTAAGATAAAATAGTAATTATCTGCTTGTAATTTGAGCTTCTCTGGGATCTGGTAAAAGCAAGAGAGGCTGGAAATTTTGGCTGTAGAGAAACACTTGCTTCATAAATTTAGGAGTCCACCCTGAGGCAATGCAACCATGGGTCAGGGAAATTTGAGGAGAGAGCCAGGCATTTATTTCACTCTCCCGAAGTCTTCAGGGAATTTGCAGCCAGTGGGCAGAATGCTGATGATCCAGATGAAATTGCGTAAGAGAGTGGGGTGCCACAAACAGGACAGAACTGATTTATTTAGTGACATTTGGAAACCATTTATAGAAGTCATGTTCATTTACAGCTAGTGCTCGGGGCTGATGGAGGATGTGGGTTACCTGTAGTTCTCCCCATCCTGAATGAATGTGGGATGGAAAAATAAGTGGATCAAAGGAAGAAGTGCTTCCTTTCACCATGAGGACTTTTCATAAATGTATCCAGCTTTACATATTTCTTTTACAGTTATTCTATGCATTGTTTGAAAAGAATAAAGCCAAACAGCTGTTTATTCCTTTCTTGAACAATATTTGTTAGGAATCAGGTACTTTCTGGGCAGAAAAAATTCATACAATTTAGTTGTGAAAATATAATAATAATTAATGTTAAATAAGTGTTTACCATGGATTGTGTCTTTTAGGTTCTTAAAAAATCCTAAAGTGGCTGGCGCACCTGGGTGGCTTGGTCGGTTAAGCATCTGCTTTCAGCTCAGGTCATGATCCTGGGGTCCTGGGCTTAGGTCATGATTCTGGGGTCCTGGAATCAAGCCTCATGTCAGGCTCCCTGCACAGCAGAGGAGTCTGCTTCTCCCCCTCTCTCTCTGCCCTTCCAGCCCCATCTTGCACCTGCATTCTAAGTAAATAAATCAATAGATAGATAAATAAATAAAATCTTTAAAGTATGTACAATTATCCCACTTTTGCAGATGAATGCATGAAACACAGAATTGACAAGCCTAGTGTAGGTGAGGAGGAAAGTATATTTTTTTACTACCTTCATGGTTCTCCAGTTGAGACCCTGTAAACTGACAAAGATAGATAAACAAAAGAAAAGCATACAAATATAGTTAAGGGAAGTTTTACACGACACAGGAGCGTTCATTACGGAAATGTGTACCCCAAGAGAAGTTAAACCGAGTGATTTTGTGCTAAGTTTAATGAAGAGTAGAAAATCATGGAAAAACATGTGACAGGACAAAAGGATATGAGCTAAAGGTAGTAAACTGGGAGAAATTTAGCAAGGCTTGTCAGTTTGGATTCCTCCTGGTGTCCTGTCTTAGGAGTTGAGGACTCTGTTCCACTGAAAGGGAGGACACCTCTCTGATGAGGGACTTAGGACCTGCTTGAGTGCAGGAAAGGAGAGATCATAGAGTCCTTCCTGCTCCTGCCTTTTCTGAAACACCTTCAGCTTAAAATATTCCATATTCCGGGGCGCCTGGGTGGCTCAGTGGGTTAAAGCCTCTGCCTTCAGCTCGGGTCATGGTCCTGGGATCAAGCCCCATGGCAGGCTCTCTGCACAGTGGGGAGCCTGCTTCTCCCCGCCCCTCCCCCCACCTCTGCCTACTCATGATCTCTGTCTGTCAAATAAAAAAATATATATGTTCCATATTCAAAGGTGCTGTATCTGGAGGTAGTGTGTTGTGAATCAGATGCCGTTCCTTGAGCTATCTGAGCCTGATCTGTAAAATGGGGGCCTTGCCATAGCCCTGTGATCCCTGTGCTCATTTACACGTCTGAATCACCTGGAGAGCTTTCAAAAAATACAGATTCCTGAACCCAAACCAGAGCAGTCTGGTGGAGTAGCTTCTAGGTAGGCCCCAGGGCATCAGTGCACTCACTCTGAAATCTCTGCCAGACATTCTGATCTGTGATGCCTTACCTGGGCTAGAAAACTCAGCAGTCGCACAGCGAGCTGCTTTTTTTGGGTACGATGGTTGGATTCTGATGTGAGATGGCAACTGCACAGCGTCATCAAGAGAGAAACCCAACTCAATCATCTGTGTGTCAAATGAGGCTAATTACACCAGCAAAACCCTCTCTGTCAGCATATGAGTAAAATGCGCAGCGGAAGCAGCTGGGAAAGATGTACGCTCTTCCTGAACTCGCTCAGCAGGATGGAAGTTAGCTGAAAGAGTGCCCCTTACAGCACTTCCTCAATCCGCTTTTGATCATCAGAAATGTTTGTCACCAGAAGAGAATTTAAATCTGAAAACTTACAAGCAACAATTCAGATCGTTTTTCTTGGAAGAGCTGTCTATTAACAAAATAAATGGTGGTGTTCTATTTTCCTTAGACACAGTCCCATCTAAAAGCCTCTTGCTTTCTGTAAAAGCAACAAGATTTTTTTCAAGCCCTTTGTTGATTGACATTACTATAATGGTTTCTCTCATGGAAATGGTTTACAAAATGTGTTACATTTTATAATTGTCTTTGTTTTTCTTTAAGTGTTTCTGCGGTTATCCATGAATGATGAGACTAGTAATAGTTAACACTTGTTAAGCTCTTGCTCTGTGCCATGCACAATCCTGCTTAATTTGTATAGCTATATATAACCTCATGTAGGTCTCTCAGTAATTGTATTTGATAACTATTATTCTCCGATCCCTTTGATATGATGAGGTAATTGGGCCAAGTAAGCTGTCCAATAGCACATAGTAAGGAATTCAGCTGGAACATGAGTCCAGCAGACTGATGCCAGATCTTTCTTTCATATTTAGATCAGTATGCCCCAAAGTATGAATTTGGAGAGTTAATTGCACAGGATAGTAATAAATGATTTGGAGGGTGGGGGTTGGGAGGCATGAATTAAATGAGGTTGGGGAATTTTGGGTTAAACAAATTGGTTTCTTTGGTGTGTGATTTCTCAGAGTGTTAAAAAAAACTCAGGTGTTACACACATCTTTAAAAGGCAAAAGCGGAATTTCACATTTCCCAAACACCTTGAACACAAAACTCTTCTTAATCAAGTCTCTCTAGACCACCGACAAAGGACGTCTATGAAATGATGGTTTGCAAATGAATTATCGGCAAAGTGGTCTACCTCCTTGCCCCCGAAGTCATGAATGTCTGTCCGTCTTACAGGGATAGTAGGAAGACATGAGAGCAAAAGGACAACGCTATGGTGCCACCATGCACCTGTGTCCTTTATGTTAACATGATCATTCAAGTAAACTGCTAATAAATTTCTTGGGAGTCATTTGGCCATATCTTTGAAAAGCTTCTCAACCTTGGGGTATTCCAAATAAATAACTGGGATGGGAAGAAAACATTAGAACATCCATTTAAAACTTCCCACATTTGATTTTTCTGGATATGTTTTGTTATATAGCTGTACATGTGTGTGTGTGTATATAACAAAACATATGCCAAAAATTAACATTTATAATTATAAATATAATTTACTTAAGAATATTTGGCCATGTATATTATAAATATATCTATAAGTGATATATTAGAATAGTTACATATGTAACTTGCAAAAAATTTAATATATATGTATTGGAGATGATTTGCAAAAATATTGAGATCACTTAGGTGTATGAAATGCCTTCCACTTCTTCATACTCTTGGACCCAGCAATTTCACTTCTTAGAATGTATTCAGCTTATCCTAAGGAAATAACTTTACACATCTATAATTATTTAGCTAGAGGGATTGTTTATTAAAGAACTCCTTGTGCTTGTGAGAATTGAAAACAGTCCCAATATTCAACAATTGGGGATCGTTTACATAAATTATTGTCTATCCATATACAGAGTCTTAACAGAGAGCTATTAAAAATTATGTAGTAGTAGAAAAAAAGGCCATGAAAAAATCCTGATTTTGTAATTTAAAAAAAAAAGATGACAAAAGATTATTTAGTTCATATGCCTGGAAGAATGGACTGGAATGATGAACCAAAATGTTAATAGTGGTAGCTCTTAGTGGTGACATAAGGGAAAATTTTTATTTTCTTTATACTTCCCTGTGTTATCTTAATTTTTATACAATAAATGTACAAATAAGCATCAAGTGAGCATTGAAATAAGCATTAAAAGCTTGACTAAGCATTATATTCATAAAGCCCCGAAGTTGGCAATTATGAAAGAGTATACAGTAACGAAGTCTTTCCCAGCCCCATCTCCCAGACAAGCCACTCTTCTCTCCGAATGTATTGACGATAATGGTTTCTTGTTTATTTTTCCAAGGATCTGTTATGTTGATAAAATTTGTGTATATATACCTATATTCTTTTACCTCTTCTCCTACAAATAACAACATATAATACATACTGTTCTATACTGTTATATTGAATAATTCTGTACACCTGTCATTTTACCCCTATCGATAGCATATCTGTAGGATACATTGCCAAAAGAGGAATATCTGGGTCAAAAAAATGTGCATTTGTCATTTGGATTAAATACTGCCCTCTGAGGATATAAAAAAAGAAAAATCCTCTCATGGTTTCTTCCAGGACTTTAACAGTTTGGGGGCCTGTTGCCTTTCATTTGTGACCCACTTCAATTTATCCTAGCTAATGGATACTTAGTAAGAAAAACCAATTATTTAGAATATTAAACTCCTCGCTTATAGTGGAATTCAAACGCTGGTTGTCCCCGTCTGTCAGATCACAGGATCGAGATGCAAATAAGGACATCTTGCAGAGGTTCAGCTTACACTGGGAATGAGAAACAGAGCCAGACCTCTGCTCTGCTGTGTGCCGGTTTGCTTCCAGAGTCACCCTGGCATGAAGAGAGAAGCCCTGAGAGCTCGAGTTCCATCCACAAGTAGAATTTTGACTTCTGTGGAACTCCAGTTGCTGGTTGGATCTTCCCTCCCAAAACTTGTAAGTTGCTCTAGTCAGCTAAATAAAAAGAAGTGATCTCCCCTGTAGTGTTACAGTATGTGTGTATGGGCTGCATGAACTGGGGTGTGACAGTACCTGGGAAGAACTGATTTTATCCCCATAGAGATTCTCTAGACCTGGTACTCGCTGGCAGACCTCAGCAGCTGCACTGAAATGTCAGATGGATTTGCACAGCTGACTCAAGTTGCCAAAATGAGAGCCACACAGTAGTTTCATAAATTGACGCTATCCAGCCAAGCCCTGCTTAATATAGATACAGCGTGAGCTTAGCTACAGCCCCCCACCCCCAGCTGCTCAGCACAGGGCACTGGGATCCACAGGGGTGAAAACCTCTTTAAGCAGTTTAACCTGGAATGTTTATTAACCGGGGGGAATTCCTTGAGAGTTTTTGATTATTTGGAGAGAGTCTTTGATTATTTCTCCTTTTCTAGTAACAGAGAAAAATACAGGGGGAAAAAAAAAAAGATCATGTCAGAACACAGCAGGAATTCAGACGAAGAAGAACTCTTTGATGAGGAGATTGATGAAGATGAAATCTTGGCCAACCTGTCCCCTGAAGAGCTAAGAAAACTGCAATCAGAAATGGAAGTGATGGCCCCTGACCCCAGGCTTCCAGTTGGAATGATTCAGAAGGATCAGACCGACAAGCCACCCACAGGAAATTTTGACCATAAGTCTCTAATGGATTATGTGTATTGGCAAAAGGCATCCAGACGCATGCTGGAGGATGAACGTGTCCCTGTCACCTTTGTGCCATCCCAGGTAATCAGGAATTTGTGTACAGCAGAGAATCGTCTGCCTGGGCCCGAGTGACAGGTGTCCCTGCCGCAGCTGTCCGTTTCTCAAGACTTCATGTTTGGTCTTGTTTTGTTGCCGCTGCTAGATTAGGTCATTAACATTTAATCTGATGTTGGACTGGAACTTCCTGAAACACTTACATGGTATAGCTGGGAAGGAAAAGTGATAGTTTTCATGTAAATGTCTCTTTTTTTTAAAAATGGCTGTGGGGTTCACTGTGTAGGAAAGCCTGATTCTACAGACATGATCTTAATGAATTAGCCTCATAACCTATAAGAATTTGTCCTTAACTCCTTTTTTTTTTTTTGACACATAGGATGCTTTAAGAAGCTGATGAATGCTCTGTACCCCTCCTTCTGCTTACACATTCATAGGTAGTATTTCACAGAAAATTGCAAGGACGTCACAGCCCTTCTGAAGTCTCGCCACATAATCTATAGTTCAACCATGTCAAATAACCCCCAAAGTTCCATATTAACACAGTTTATTGGATATCAGTAATGCATTTAGAAATTGATAGCTATTGAATAGTTGTTGTAAAGACCGTTCTTTCTGAAATATATTTCTTATATGGCCACTAGAATTGCAGTTGCATCTATGAACCTATCATATATCAGCATACTTTTCTTAATGTTCCACTTAAAAAGGACAAAGCCAAAGGAAGACCAAGATCCCTGCAGGTAAAGACTCTTTTAGTTATACCTGCTGATACAGCTCTATCTTCTCACATTGCTCTCATGCTGGCCGTGATTAAGGAAACTTACAAACTGGTTTCAGGGTCAGAAGAGTTCAAACATGTACTAAATTTAAGCAGTTGCCCGTTTGGTCAGGTTGGCGTTTAAGGTACAATCTGCAGCTATTTGGAGTGACTATATTATACAGTTGGAGTAAAAACCAATTCTATTCTGAATGCAAATTTCAGAAAAAGAAAAGTGGGTACTTTGAACACTTTTGTCATCCCTTAGTAGAATTTAAACAGCTTGATGATTGTCTCCCCCTACTGGGACAGATGAGAAATGCAGTGGGGAAGGCTTTAAAGTGGTTAGGATGACTTTTGCCAACTGTCACTTCCAACCTACCATATGTTGTAAGCAAGAAGATCAAGTTCTTGCTTGAAAATGCTACACCAGCTTTTGAAATGACACCTATGAGGTACACATGTGGTATAGGAAAGCACACTAATTGATAAGTAAGAATCTAACAAACATCATTGTTTAGAGACTGCTAATTTCCTTTCTAGACTAAGGCATTCGTTGTTGTTTTTTTTTAAGATTTTATTTATTTATTTGACAGAGAGATCACAAGTAGGCAGAGAGACAGACAGAGGGGTGTTGGGGGGGGGGAAGCAGGCTCCCTGCTGAGCAGAGAGCCTGACTCAGGGCTCGATCCTAGGACCCTGAGACCATGACCTGAGCTGAAGGCAGAGGCTTTAACCCACTGAGCCACCCAGGTGCCCCAAAGCATTGTTTCTAAAGATCTGTATAATCCCATCCTCTTTTGTAGCCAGCACTGCCCCCTAGACACTTTGTTTCAAAAGAAACTGGACTCATGATCCTGTCCTTGAAGTAGTCAGGATAGTGGTCATAGAGCTGAGGAGACAAAAAATCCAAGTCTAGGTCTTTGGTATATTTCAGAGTATCAAAATGCTCTCATTTTTCCCACAGTATGCTATGTTTTCAGGGAAAGTTGATATACACATTATACTAGATTAGCAGGTATCTTGGGATGTAAGTTTTGTTTGGAGCAATGAGTAATTTGTGTAACCCAGGACCATTGAACACAAAAATGCCCATTTGGCTATATATAAAAAAAGACTTCAGTGTATTGATCGATAACTCCATAAGGTTTTCAAAGCAAATAATTTTTGGACCGCTTCTAGAATTGAACACCATTTTTAAAAACAATACAGAATCCAAAACCAAAATTATGTTTCATTTTACCATATGGAATAAGATAAACACAACCCAAAAAAAATGTGTTTGTATCTATCTGTAGTATGGCTATAAAAGTTCATCTTTATTTAGATTATATTTGCTTACAAAACTAATACGTGTATTTAAAAAAAAACAAACACTTTAGAATTATATGCATCCCCTCTCCAGTTATCTTTTTTTTTTAAGATTTTATTTATTTATTTGACATACAGAGATCACAAGTAGGCAGAGAAGCAGGCAGAGAGAGAGGAGGAAGCAGGCTCCCTGCTGCACAGAAAGCCCGATGTGGGGCTCGATCCCAGCAGTCTGGGATCATGACCCAAGCCAAAGGCAGAGGCTTTAACCCACTGAGCCACCCAGGCGCCCCTCCAGTTATCTTTTTATTTTATTTTATTTTATTTTTAAAGTAATCTCTATAGCCAACATGGACTTGAACTCATAACCCTGAGATCAGGAGTCACATGCTCCTCTGACTGAGTCAGCCAGGCACTGCTCCCTTCTCAATTACCTTAATAGTTCCCTCTCTTTTTAAGAGAGAACTGATAATTGGGTAAGCATTACCATAGACTTGTTTTTCCTATACACTTATAAGCTTTAATATATTGTATATGTGTTTGCATATATGTATACACACACAAATGGAATACTATACACACCATTTATTTGCTTACTTGTTTCACTTCCTAATAAATCTCTTATTTCCAGTAGCGACTGCTCTGCTTCCTGTCTCTCCATCCCCATGTGTTCTAACCCTCATAAACCTCTCTTTTAGGTGGACACTCAAGAGCAGCACAAAGAAGTAGGCAAAGGCAATAAAAATGTGTCCCAGTATTTAAAAGAAAAGCTCAACAACGAAATCACTGCAAATAAAAGAGAATCAAAAGGCAGCAGCGATGTCCCAGAAACCGATGATGCTGATGGTGAAGAAGATGAAGGAGATGACGGGGATGAGGATGACGAGGATGAAGATGAGGAAGGAGATGATGACAGCGAAGAGAGTGTGGAAAAGCCACAAAGAGGTGTGCAAGGCGGGGTAGAGCAGCAGATCAGAAACGGGGAGAGCAGCTGCGCACAAGTAGCTAAGAAGGCATTTGGAGAACAGAAAGACGGACCAGAGGCCCAAGAAAAAAGTGAGAAGAAAATATCAAAATTAGATCCCAAGAAGTTAGCGCTAGATACCAGTTTTCTAAAGGTAAGTGCAAGGCCTTCAGGAAACCAAACAGACCTGGATGGGAGCTTGAGGCGCGTTAGACAGAATGACCCTGACATGAAGGAGCTCAACCTGAACAACATTGAAAACATCCCCAAGGAGATGTTGCTTGACTTCGTCAATGCAATGAAGAAAAACAAACACATCAAAACCTTCAGCTTAGCCAACGTGGGCGCGGATGAGAACCTCGCGTTCGCCTTGGCGAACATGCTGCGGGAAAATAGGAGCATTACCACTCTCAACATCGAGTCCAACTTCATCACAGGGAAAGGAATCGTGGCCATCATGAGGTGCCTCCAGTTCAACGAGACACTCACCGAACTTCGGTTTCACAATCAAAGGCACATGCTGGGCCACCATGCCGAAATGGAAATCTCCCGGCTGTTGAAGGCAAACACCACTCTCCTGAAGATGGGCTACCATTTTGAGCTCCCGGGTCCCAGAATGGTGGTGACCAACCTGCTCACCAGGAATCAGGACAAGCAACGGCAGAAGAGACAAGAGGAACAAAAGCAGCAGCAGCTCAAAGAGCAGAGGAAGTTGATAGCCATGTTGGAGAATGGGTTGGGGCTGCCCCCTGGAATGTGGGAGAGGCTGGGGGGACCCATGCCCGATCCCAGGATGCAGGAGTTCCTCCAGCCTCCTTCGCAGCCTCCCAGCCCCCAAGCGGCCGCCTTCAATCGGCAGAATGAAATGATGAAGAAGCCATCACAGCCCCCGAAATACAGGACGGACCCTGACTCCTTCCGAGTGGTGAAGCTGAAGAGGATCCAACGCAAGTCTCGGATGCCCGAGGCCAGAGAGCCGCCCGAGAAGACCAACCTCAAAGATGTCATCAGAACGCTCAAACCCGTGCCGAGAAACAGGCCACCCCCGCTGGTGGAAATCACTCCCAGAGATCAGCTCTTGAATGACATTCGTCACAGCAACGTTGCCTATCTTAAGCCGGTAAGTAGAGGGGAGGAGAAATGGTGAACGAGTTCCAGGGTATCCCACCTCTACCCCCTGCTCGTTTTAACACCGGGAGAGTCTCACTAGTGGTGACTAACCAGAGGAAGCCATCAGCATTACCAGGGCAACGAAATTACCAGTTATCCCCAAGGACACATATACAACTAGACAACTTTGTACCAGTGCAATTCACAACTAAGGTGTGTTAAGCGATTATTGTAGGCCAGATGCATTATATGAATTAACTCATCATCTTAACACCCTAGGAGGTAGATATTATTATTATTCTCCCTATTTTATAAAAGAGAAACTGAGGCTTAGAGAAGTTCAGTACCGTGTATAGGAGATAGAGCTGGAAAGTGGTAGAGTCGACACTGAAATTCAGCTCCAGGTCCAGGGCCAAGCCTTTATCCACCCCAGCTGCAGAGCTGACCTTCAGAGATCTCGAGGAACCTGCTGCAGGAATAAGTAAGGACGAAGCCTAATTTAGGCCCATCATTTGTAAATAACTGAGTGCTTCCAGAATGTTTAAAAATAGTTGGTTCTTTTTTAGTAGATGAAGAGAGACTACCTGCAATTGCATTTCTGTACTCTTCACTGTTTAGGTGGCCAGATAAACGGTAAATGTCAAGTAGCATCTCCATAACCCCGGGCTATTTGCTACATTTTCTATTTTCCATCAGTTCTAAACGGCTATCGATTTTAAGCTCCGTGAATGAATGGAGGTTTAACTATGATTTCAGCTTTAATGTTTACCATGATTCATGAATAACTGCTGCTGATACATGAAAATGTGTATTCCTTGCAGGTGAAGTTGAAGAAATAAGATTTTTTTTGTCATTACAATGATAGCATCTATGGAATCTGAAAGGCATATGTCTAAAAGTCATAGGTACTTAATAATGAACTGTATTATTTTATTTTATTTTAAGATTTTATTTATTTATTTGACAGAGATCACGAGTAGGCAGAGAGATAGGCAGAGAGAGAGAGGAAGGGAAGAAGGCTCCCTGCTGAGCAGAGAGCCCAATGCAAGGCTTGATCCCAGGACCCTGAGATCATGACCTGAGCCGAAGGCAGAGGCTTTAACCCACTGAGACACCAAGGTGCCCCGAACTGTATTATTTTAAAATCTAGAGTGTCATAGAGCCAAACAGTCCATCTATTATTTCATCATAGGGAGTCACAATTTCTTCAAGATGTGTTATACAGATGTATGTCCCTTATTCCCATCTCCGGGTAATGCAGAATTGACAGCATTCTATTCTTCTAAATCAAAGATGACTTTCCTCTGTGTCATAGAGGGATTCTGATTCTTCCTTGGGTAGAACAGGGTGAGAACACTAGAAGGTCCCCTGAGTTCTTTGCCTGCCCTTGGGTACTACATAAAGAGTTTCTGCACCTGCTCTTCTCCAGGCAGCCAGAACCCCTGTAGCGGGGTGGCTTGGGGTGTTGATTTGAGAGAAACTAACTCTGTCACTGTGTAACCAGTCATTGGTAAAGCATATTCAAGCTGCCTTGGAGGCTGTACCAAGAGAAAATAACAGTCTGAAAAGATTGAAGAGGAGTCTTTTTTTTTTTTTTTTTTTTTAAGAGATGGAGAGAATGTGCACAGGGGGAGGAGGGGCAGAGGGAGAGGGAGAGAGTATGTTAAGTAGGCTCCACGCCCAGCACAGAGCCGGATGCTGGGCTTGATCTCACGACCCTGAGATCATGACCTGAGCTGAAATCAAGCGTCAGACAAGTGGGATGCCTGGGTGGCTCAGTCAGTTAAGTGTCTGCCTTTGGCAAGTCAGGGTCCTGGTATCGGGTCCTTCATCAGGCTCCCTGTTCTACTGGGTGTCTCCTTGTCTCTCTGCCCCTCCCCTATTAGTGTATGCTCTCTCTCTCTTTCTCTGAAATAAATAAAATCTTTTAAAAAAAAGAGTCAGATTCAACCAACTGAGCTAGCCAGGTGCCCCAAGAGAAGTCTTTCTAAAATCTGCATTAGAGGTGACCTATGGATTTGGAATAGAAGAGAGAATGAAGTTCGAATGATTTTCTGACCCAATTCCCTGCCTTCCGAGGGAGTGTTCTACGGAGCAAGTCTGCTTACCCTGGAGTCTGTTTCATTCTGCCCATTCACTTATTTGTTAATGCAGCACGTATGTAGTGCACCTGTGTGTCAGGTACCATCTGAGGGGACAGGGACACGGGTGAATAAGACAGGCACATTCTTGACCTCATGGAACTTACAGTCTTGGTTTTATAACTTCCACAACCAGGACCCTCTGCCTTTTAGTCAACCGAAACACTTTAACTTTGAGTCCAGATTCTAGAACAAAAGACATTAAAATAAATTAATGAGGATAACCACAAAAACGCAACCCCTGGCTAATTGCTACATTTTCTATTTTCCATCAGTTCTAAACTGCTATGGATTTTAGGCTGTGTTTTGTTTGTGCTTGATGTCCGTTAAGAAAGAAACACGCTTCAAAGTAAATGCTGACATGATTTTTGAATGAGTGTCTTGCAAATCAGCCCATGCTTTGAAGTGTCTTTTGTCTGTTCCAAGGGATTGGCAGTTTCTCCTACTTTCAGCTGCCTGGCTTGGCCTATGAGAAGCATCTCTGCAGGTGCATGAGATAGAGATCGTCACACAGCTTCATACACATAGTCCTGTGAATACTCTGAAGAAAAAGATGTGCAAATGCTTTCATCCCACTGACCAAAATTCACTCCACTAATGTCCCTTTGTTCCCCACCGATCAAATTGTGTTCCTTGCTGCATACGTAGTAAATTTTCTGCTTTCATGCTGAATCGCAGTGTGATCTTTTTAGAAGATAGTCTTTTTATTGTGAAATCATTTTGACTTGCAGAAGTTCAAAAATAGTACAAAGAGTTGTTACATTCCCACCCCATTTTGTCAAGTTGGCGTTGTCCTTCTTCAAAAAAGCTATTCTAAATGGCAGCACATCTGCGTGCATAGTTAATGGAGCTGCTGATAGTGTGGAAAGCCGTGGTGTGTTCGTGCTTGAATCTGCCGTCAACTGTTGTAAAGTTTACAGACTGTAAGATGCTTTCTGATTTGGGGAATCTGTGGAAATGTCACAAAATGTGCCTCTTAGACTGAGCGGAATATAGAAAACACCATTGGTGGCAATACTACAAAATCCCAGCAGAAAGGGGTATTTTTAGTCAAATGAGACATAACAGCCCTCATCTGGGAAAAGTGAAATTAAAGATTTATAGGTTTTTCTCCCCCGCTCTTGGACTGGTGGACAGAGATGCCCTCCAAACCCCTGGGTTTTCAAGGATGAGGTTAGAATTAAAGCATAATTTTGAAATGTTGTGATTTTTAAAAAATAATTTTCCAGGGGCGCCTGGATGGCTCAGTGGGTTAAGCCGCTGCCTTCAGCTCAGGTCATGATCTCAGGGTCCTGGGATCGAGCCCCACATCGGGCTCTCTGCTTGACAGGGAGCCTGCTTCCCTCTCTCTCTCTGTCTCTGCCTGCCTCTCTGTCTACTTATGATCTCTCTCTGTCAAATAAATAAATAAAATCTTAAAAAAAAAATAAAAAAAATAATTTTCCATTTAAATTCAATTAACTAACATATAATGTATTATTGGTTTCAGGGATACAGGTCTGTGGTTCATCAGTCTTATATAATCCCCAGTGCTCATTGCATCACATACCTTCCTTAATGTCCATCGCCCACTTATCTCTTCCCCTCCAGTAAACCTCCCCTCCCTCCAGTAACTCCAGTATCTGGAGTTACTTCCCTCTCCTCCAGTAACCCTCAGTTTGTTTCCTATGATTAAGAGCCACTCATGGTTTATCTCCCTCTCTGATTTCATCTTTATTTTTTTTCCTCCTTCCTCTATACTCCTCTGTTTTGTTTCTTAAATTCCACATATCAGTGAGCTCATATGATAATTGCCTTTCTCTGACTGACTTATTTTGCTTAGCATAATACCCTCTAGTTCCATCCACGCCATTGCAAATGGCAAGATTTCATTTTCATTGTGATTTTTTAAAAGCTGAGGATCCTAACTGGAATCTCGAATATCCAAAAACATAAGTGATTTAGTCTTAGCTAGTCTTGTTTTCCTTTTTCAGTCTTCTGTTTACCTCTCATGGACTTGGAAATAGTAATTCTGTATATGCAAAACATATCCCATCAAGCAGTCTGTTTATATTTTTTAATTGTATTTTTTTTATTTCAATGCCTGTTCTCTCCCCCACGCCATATTTCTGGCCTGGGACCCTTAAAATGAAGTCGGTAGCAAAGAATAAAGAGAAATCTGTACACTGGCTTGGCTTAAATGCTACCTCCTCCAAGAAGCTGCCCATTTACCCAGTTTAAGCGAGATGTGTTCTGTGGGCCAGTTATGTGAGAACAGGCCAACTGTCAGCCACATCTGCAGGCCTGGAGTGTTTGGCTTGGATATTGTTGTACCAAATTTAAAATATCCCACAATAACACTTAGTTCTCTGGCACCACCTGAAACATCAGAGCTGGCCATGGTGGGCTTGCGTTTGCATGGCACTCATCAGCTGGATTTGACATTTGGCTTTTCTCTTAAGATAGGTAATGGACTCCAGTTTTTCTCAGTCTCCACCATGCCCTACTGCCTAACACCTGGCCTGTTTCACTTGTTGACATTACTTACTTGGCTTCTGTAGAATTTTTTTAGTTTGTTTTGTTCTCGTTTTTAGCTGTGCTTTTAAACTCTCTGTCTTGTCTAACAAAGTGAATTCATTCAATAATCACAGATTCCTTTCCTGATGAGTTAATAACTGAGTTAATTGGAGGCTTACCCCTCCCTGGGCAAATGTGGGATTTCCTTTTCCTTTTTCTTTTTTTTTTTTTTTTTTAAGATTTTATCCATTTACCTGAGAGACAGAGATCACAAGCAGGCAGAGAGGCAGGCAGAGAGAGAAAGAGGAGGAAGCAGGCTCCCCAGTAAGCAGAGAGCCTGTTGGGGCTCAATCCCAGGACCCTAGGATCATGACCTGAGCCAAAGGCAGAGGCTTAAACCACTGAGCCACCCAGGTGCCCCAGGATTTCCCTTTATCCTGAAAAATTTTGTGGACTGTTCACTGCCTACCATCCCAGATGGGTCTTTGTACTTCTCCCTGAGATAAGATCCCATCTGTGACGATGTCATTTACCGATATCAATGTCCAGTGCCAATGCATTTATATCACACACAGGCTTCAGTGCCAATCAAAGAAGGTGGTTTAACATTCACTCAATTTCACCTTGGGTTCACCTCTCTATACCTGGGTTGCTTCCACCCCATTGCCTAAAAACACAGCTAAATTTCTCCTTTGGAAAGACTTCAGTTTAAGAATATCAAAAGCACGGGGTGCCTGGGTGGCTCATTGGGTTAAGCCTCTGCCTTTGGCTTGGGTCATGATCTCAGGGTCCTGGAATGGAGCCCTGCGTTGGGCTCTCTGCTCAGCCGGGAGCCTGCTCCCCACCCCCCGCCTGCCTCTCTGCCTACTTGTGATCTCTGTCTGCCAATAAATAAATAAAACCTTTTAAAAAAGAAAAGAATATCAAAAGCAGCCTCGGTTAGCCAAAAGACTCCATGACGTATAGGTAGTTATGATTATGAAATGGGACATTATAGACCCTGGAGTCTTCATTTTCACCCCTGGCCATTTCTTCTTCGCCTCATTAACAAGATCTTCTTTCTCTTAAGGATTTCTGGATTCCATACTTCTGCAATTTCCTCCTCTTTCCCATTTTATCTTCTCCTTTTGTTTCCATTGTCACATAATCTAGGATACTTGCCAGATCTCTCTTTCCGTTTAGATCACTGAAGTTTTCTTAGCACCTTCGTTCAGTCTTTCCCCAGCCAACCTCTTGAGTTGAGGCCTGTTTGTGTTTCTGGTTCCCTGTGTTCACTGTTCTTTCCCTTCTCTTGCACATTCAGGTCTAAAACCCCAGAGTTGTCTTCAACGACTTTTCCCTCTGCCCTATATTTTTGTTCCTTATTTTATTTGTTCCATCAGTTCTTTATACAAGAGGCCTCCCCGGGAAAGAGCTGTGTAAGATTTCAAACTCATCCTGAAAGAGCATACGTTGACCAGAACTACAGAGCATAGGAACTGCCTTTTCCTAATACCTAGTTGGAAAAAGAGTTTATGGTGTACAATGTTTCTGAAGTCTGTGATAGTGAGTCTTAAATTTTAGCATGCATCAGAACCACCTCGAAGGCTGAGTACAGATTCCTGAGCCTGTCTCTAGAGTTCCTGATTCAATGGATTTTGAATGGTGCCTGAGAATTTGCCTTTCTCTCCAGGTCCTTGGTGACACTGATTCTGCTACTGTGGACATCCCACTGACAACAACCACAAGTCTATGGCGCCACGACAAATCACATCCCTTGACATTTCCCCCAAAGGGTCTTCTTTTCTTGCTTCCATACCCTTTGCTCATATGACCTTTAATTCCATCTCTTGAAAGCTATCCAAACAGGCTTGGCTCAAACAGGATTTCTTATAGCAAAAGAAACCAAACGAATCATCCAGAGTGAATGTGCTCCCTTTGTTTCTAAGACCCTTCATGCATATGTCTCTTACAGCATCTCCCACATTCTGCTTGAGAACCCTTATGGGAATAGTGTGGGTCTCCTAGTAGATTCTGAATTCCTCAGAGTAGGCCTTCCTCAACTCTTTCTGGACACCTAGTGGGGTGTTGACTAAAAGCAGCAATTCAACTTGATGTGCCCAATGAAATAACCCCTGGAGACGGTCTTCTCTTCCTGCCCCAGTCTCTGTGAGTGTATATACGTGTGAGCCCTGTGTGATGCTCTGCACACATACTTTTCTTTTTTTTTTTTTTTTACATTTTATTTATTTGAGAGAGAGAGAGACAGTGAGAGAGAGCATGAGCAAGGAGAAGGTCAGAGGGAGAAGCAGACTCCCTGTGGAGCTGGGAGCCTGATGCGGGACTCGATCCCGGGACTCCAGGATCATGACCTGAGCTGAAGGCAGTCGCTTAACCAACTGAGCCACCCAGGCGCCCACACATACTTTTCTTAAATGAATTTTAACCAACCAGTGAAGGGGGGAACAGGGCCCCCTAACCATACGGCAAGCAGATTGCCATGTTTATAAGTTTTATATATTTATAAGATCAAGGCTAGTTATCTTTTCCTCTCTAGTTTCTGTCTTTTGTGTTCTGCTTAGAAATGGCTTCTTTTGAAGCTTACTAAAATATTTGCCCATCTTTTATTGCTGCTTTTATCACTTTTAGTTTTTTTTTTAATTCCCTATTACAGATGAGTTAAAAGGTTAAATTTTAGGGGCACCTGGGTGGCTCAGTGGGTTAAAGCCTCTGCCTTCGGCTCAGGTTATGATCCCAGGGTCCTGGGATCGAGCCCCACATCGGGCTCTCTGCTCAGCAGGGAGCCTGCTTCCACCTCTCTCTCTATTTGCCTGCCTCTCTGCCTACTTGTGATCTCTGCCTGTCAAATAAATAAATAAAATCTTTAAAAAAAAAAAAGGTTAAATTTTAGAAGGACGTAGGGAGCAAGAAACCCACTTTGATTTTTTTTTTTTTCCCAAATCGCTGATCAATGATAGCCAACCAGTGATTCTTTTTCACAGTGTTCTGAATTGCCATCTTGGTCATGTTTTAAATATGTCAATATGTGTCTGGGTTTACTATGTTGGGTCAGTGCCACATTTTGCTTTTTAAAGTATTTGTATTGTTTTGGATCCCTCCCCTGTATATAAACATACATCTGGAATACCATTATATAAAATGCTTTTTTTTCCCATTCCGCAATACAAAGAACACACTGTCTTAATTATTTGTTGCAGCACTGTAGTTCTTTTAACTACGTGGCATTGTATTTTTGGCTCACTGGTGTTCTTCCCTGTTGGTGTTCTCCATGGTTGAGCCCTAGAAAGGTGCATCCTGAAAGTCAGGCACTAGGATGGAGAGGGTCAGAAGCACATGGAGAACCCTTGGTTTGAAGGCTGGGCAGGCAGCAGCAACTGCTTGAGGGCAGTTTCCATGGTCGGCAGGATATTGGGAAATCTTTCCAGCCAAAGGTTGAGAGAAGACTGGCTGCAGGAGGGGCCGTAACAGATGGCCAAAATGGCTCATCACATTGGCAGGTAGATATGGGAAACAGGAGAAAAATTCTTACTCATTTTTATACACACTCTGAGTGTCCTCTGTACCTCTTCAGTGTCCTCTGGAAGGTTCCTGCACGATGGATAAGTCACTCTCCCAAGATGTAGACACTGTTTAAGAACTTGCCTTATCTTTAAGTCGTTCCTATGATACAAACCTGCAAGTCAGACATAAGCTACTCTTTGGTCATTGATTTTGCCCTTGGGCCTTCTCCAAATACTTTGCTTTTTAAATTTAAGTGATCTTCAAATTGGGAATGTGCTTCAAAAAGGAAAGGCCAGGTTATAAAAGGACATCTATCGTATTCTCTAGTGGTATTTTTTGTGGTTCAGGCTTGGGTACTGAAATCAGGCAGATCTGGGTTGCGATCCTGCCCTGGCACTAACCAGCTGGGTGGGAAACGCCTTCTCCTCTCTGAGCCTGTCCCCTCCTTAACAAGGCTATTGTAGAATAAAGTGAGAAAATGTTCTTGAAGTGTGGTATTGCTTACTAACTTGTTTTCTATCACGTAATCCTTAAAATAGCTTTGTCTGCTAGACACGTGCTGTTACGGTCAGTTTATAGCTGAGAACACTGATACCCGCGACCGCACAGCTAGTAATACCAGTACCAGGATTTGAACTGGGCAGACTCCAGCATCTGCCCTTTTGGTTGTTTTTTTTTTGTTTTTTGTTTTTTGTTTTTTTTTTTAAGATTTTATTTATTTATTTGACAGACAGAGATCACAAGTAGGCAGAGAGGCAGGCAGAGAGAGAGAGAGGAGGAAGCAGGCTCCCCACTGAGCAGAGAACCCGATGCGGGGCTCAATCCCAGGACCCTGGGATCATGACCTGAGCTGAAGGCAGAGGCTTTAGCCCACTGAGCCACCCAGGTGCCCCTGCCCTTTTGTTTTTATGAGATGATTTACCATGTGCTTACAGCCCTTAGATCAGTCGCTGGCATCACGAAATGCCCCACGGATGATGGATACAGTTGTTACTGTTGTTTTATTATGCTTTGGGAGGCTCTCTGGCCCAAATTTTTCATCCATTTTGCAACTTCTGAGGCACGTAAGTTTTGTCATTTTTGCTGCCAAACTCTTGAATTTCCAGGATTAATTTTTTTCCCTTTTTTTCAACTACTTCAATCCACAGGTGCAACTGCCAAAGGAACTGGCGTAAGTGGGAACAGAATAATCTTAGAAGAACAAGGAATTGAGACAATGAGTCCGGTCAGAGCTTGGAGACCGTCTCAGCAGCATACTTCTGGAGCCAGGTGGTGGAACTGGGAACAAGGCTGGCATCTGATAGGAGTATTCTGTAAAGGCCGGGGCAAAATAAGAGGCTGGCAAGGAAGGGGGAGATAAAAAAAATTACTATTCTGGGACAACATTTTCTACTTCCAATCCATTTGAGTGACTTGGGTGAAATTTAGTTGTGTTTCCAGCAGCAGCATTTAAAAAAAAAGAAATTTTTTTCCCCCATAAACGTTTGTTTTACTATTGCTTTCTTCTGGTAAATGACAATAAAAACTATAGATGTGTTAAATATTTCTTCCTCCATCTCCTGCTGTAATTCATGGCCCAAATCTGTTTCACTCTGTGGAAATGTGAATTGAACTCCAGGCCCGCTGATGCTCTGAAATGGAAGATCTGTTCGTTAGCTCTTCTCCGGAGAAGCAGGCAGGATTTTCAGTTTCCAACCCTGTTTAGCTTGCTCTCCTGGCCATTCCCCTGGTGCATCGTACTTCGGAAGGGGTATGTATCTGTGAGGAGTGGAGCAAGGAGGCACAGGACATGGAGAACACAGTGTTTCCAGGAAAAGTCATGGGGGGAAAAAACCCTGCAGGTATATATACATGTATACGTATAGACTTCCTTGTTTCCATATATAAAGGAACAAAGGCAGAGAGCATTTTTGTTTTGTTTAAAAAATAAATTTTTTTGCATAAATAAGATAGTTAGTGACAAGTTTTTAGTTTTTGCTAATGAAATATATGTAAGTTTAGTTTGTGACCCTAATTTGGTCTTATAAGTCTCGTCAGAAACCTTCTAAAGGAAACTTGCTATAGGATTAAACTTCAATTTCTTAACATTATTCAAGGTCCTCCATTATCTGTTCCCAATTTAGTAATTGAGTCTGCTTTGCCACAGATTCTTTATACTTCTCTTGATAAGACATCCTCATATATACCCTGTGCCTTGCTTTCCTTGATCCTTCCATGGAACACTTTCCAAAGCACTTTCCTTCTTCTCTCTGTTACCTTCTTCTCTCTGTTACCTTCTTCAGGCTTACCAAAGTCCTACCCCATCTTTACAAGTGGGTTAGGTCCTAATCCTCCAAAAAATCTTCCAAACAACTCCAACCCCAGCGGTCTTTCCAAGTTCCTAGAGTTCTTAATTATCTGGTCTAGTCGCTAGATGCATAGAATCTGAAATTTTGTATGAATGTGGCATGAACATTAGAAATCAGGAAATCACACATTGGTGCCTTTTCTGTCTTCTTTACCTGACTGAACAGATGGCACCTGCTCTCTCTCTTTTTTTTTTTTTAATGTTATTTATTTATTTGACAGAGATCACAAGCAGGCAGAAAGGCAGGCGGGGCGGGGGGGTGGGGGAAGCAGGCTCCCCGCTGAGCAGAGAGCCCGATGTGGGGCTCGATCCCAGGACCCCGAGACCATGACCTGAGCTGAAGGCAGAGGCTTAACCCACTGAGCCATCCAGGCGCCCCTCTCTTTCTCGTTTTATATAATCATAGGTGGTACATCATAAGCAAAACCGGCTAGGAGAGAATAGATCTAATGGAGAAAAGTTAAACAACACATTATTTAGAAGGACAAGTCATGGGAAAGAAATATGGTGTTTCCATTTTTTAAGGATAATTTAGTGTATACTAAAGTATCCATGTTTGAATAGCTATAGTTTCAATCAGGTAACTGATTTTACAGTAGCAAATAGCTGAGAGTTTTTTTCTCCTGTGTTACCATTTCTATAAAACCTCCTTGCACACCAAGCAGGACCTTTGTAAGTGTCTAGCATGTTCTACATCAAGAGCACCCATGGGACACAGTGCTCTAAACATGTTTAAAAGCTTACTATGTATTAGTGGTTGAAGTTCATTTTTCTTTTTTTTTAAGATTTCATTTATTTATTTGACACAGAGAGAGAGATCACAAGTAGGCAGAGAGGCAGGCAGAGAGAGAGGAGGAAGCAGGCTCCCTGCTGAACAGAAAGCAAACCGCGGGGCTCTATCCCAGGACCCTGCGATCATGACCTGAGCCCAAGGCAGAGGCTTAACCCACTTAGCCACCCAGGCACCCCAGTGGTTGAAGTTCTTGAAAGACCTTATGTTTGCTTATATAGCCACAGTATTAATAAAGTCAGGAATTTCAAAAAGTGCTAATAGTCCCAAAAGACGGCTTTAATTTTAGATGTGTGATGAGAAAAGATGATCCAAATACATAGCTTACTGTTTCACTACACAGATTTTTGTCAAGGGACAGGTGAAGCCGCTTACTTACACTTGTTCCATCTACCCACTCCTAACCTAAAAATCTTAGTTGAAGATTTTAACTTTTTTTTTTTTTTACTGTCTTAATTTTATTTATTTTCAGTGTTCCAAAATTCATTGTTTATGCACCACACCCAGTGCTCCATGCAATTCATCCCCTCCTTAATACCCACCACCAGGCTCACCCATTCTCCCCACCCCCTCCCTTCCAAAACCCTCAGTTTGTTTCTCAGAGTTCACAGCAGTCTCCCATGGTTTGTCTCCCCCTCCGATTTCCCCCAACTCACTTCTCTTCTCCTTCTCCTAATGTCCTCCATGTTATTCCTTATGCTCCACAAGTAAGTGAAACCATATGATAATTGACTCTCTGTGCTTGACTTATTTCACTCAGTATAATCTCTTCCAGTCCTGTCCATGTTGATACAAAAGTTGGGTATTCATCCTTTCTGATGGCTGCATAATATTCCATTGTATATATTTAACTTGTTTTTAATTTTTTTTTTTTTAAGATTTTAAGTAATCTCTAACCCCAACATGCGGCTTGAACTCACAATCCTGTGATCAAGAGTCACACACTTTTTTTCTTTTTTTAATTTTTTACTTATTTGACAGAGAGAGAGAGAGAGAGAGAGATCACAAGTAGGCAGAGAGGCAGGCAGAGAGAGGAGGAAGCAGGCTCACTGATGAGCAGAGAGCCCAATGCGGGGCTTGATCCCAGGACCCTGAGACCATGACCTGAGCCGAAGGCAGAGGCTTAACCCACTGAGCCACCCAGGTGCCCCGAGTCACACTCTTGATCCCACTCCGACTAAGCCCGCCAGGTGCCCCTTGTTTTTTTTTTTTTTTTAAGATTTTATTTATTTATTTGACAGAGATCACTAGTAGGCAGAGAGGCAGGCAGAGAGAGAGGGGGAAGCAGGCTTCCCACTGAGCAGAGAGCCAGATATGGGGCTCGATCCCAGGACCCTGAGATCACGACCTGAGCTGAAGGCAGAGGCTGTAACCCACTGAGCCACCCAGGCACCCCAACTTGTTTTTAAAATGCAATGATTTACAGCTCTTACATGCTACATTTTTATATTATTTTCCTTTTAGAATTGACCACCAACCATTAGTAATTATTAAGAGTATATATTTTATTTAAGTTGTCACTTTTGCCCTCAGTCTACAGAATTCGTGTAGACACTAGAAAGGGCTCAAATATGTCAGGTTTAAAAAAGGATCCCATTGGAATTCAATTTTATTCTAACTGGAAATTACTAAAGAATTAAAGTATTACTAAATAGGACCATAGCCCCCCCACCCCTCATCCAATGGGGATATGGCCTAAGAACCCCAGTGAATGCCTGAAACCACAGATAGTACTGAATCCCCTACATATATTGTTTTTTCCCTGTACGTGCCTACAACAAAGTTTAATTTATAAATGAGGCACAGAGAGTAACAACAAAAGCTGATAATAAACTAGAACAACAATAATAATATGTTGTGATAAAAGGTATGTGAATGCGGTCTCTCAAAATCATCTGACTGTACATACTTATCTTTGTTCTGTGATGACGTGAGATGAGAAAATATCTCCTGTGGAGATGAAGTGAGGGGAATTACATAGGCATTGTGTTGTCATATTTGTTACCACTGACCTCCTGATGTGTCGGGAGGAGGATCGTCTGCTTCTGGACCGAGGCTGACTGCCGGTCACTGAAACCATGGAAAGCAGAAGCATGGATAGGGGACATGGGGGGGGTGGGGAGACTATGGTGTGTGAAACACAAGCTGAGTGGTTTCTGCCACAGGGCAAGTCCTCATCGTGTAGAGGGCTGTCACCAAGTATCCCAGGTATTTAGCAACAGATGTGCATGAAACAAAGTCTCACAAATAAAAATCTTGGATAAACTTTATTCTCCATCATCTTTGGGTAAGGGTACAAACTCTACACCATGTCTATGAAGTCATGGTGCTCTCACTGTGCTAGAGAGGAAGGCTGTGGGTTGGGTGAGAAGTTAAAATGCAAGACAAATCAGGAGCAGCATATGCTGTGGCTTCTTATTTTAGGATGTACAGAGAGTCTCTTCAGTAAGTACTGCTCCAGTTGTCTTCATAACTCAGTGTTAGGAAAACCCAAATGTTGTCTCTTCATCTATGAAATCACTCAACTGGCAAGCAAAACATTTCGTATCATCTATTTCTAAATATATGAGAAATAAAAGGAAGAAAGTAACGGGATAAACTCATGCTATCTTGATTCTAATGTCTAGCTATGAAAACATACGGTGGTAACCATTGCTATCTACAATTTTTATGAAGTGCAGAAAGCCACTAGTGACTCCCACCTTCATAAGTCTTTTTGCTTGGTCATCGACAGATGCCTTTCAGATTCAAAAGACCAACCATTATTGTTCTCTTTGTGCCCCTAAGAAATCAATACAATGTACATCAATTTCCTTCTTTCTGAATGTTCCAGTTAAAAACTAAACAGTGAAAAAAATATAGGAAACATTATCTTGGACACCTTTTTATCAAAACAACAAAAGATGTGCCACATGAACAGAACTCAAGTTTTATTTTTTTGTTGTTGCTTTTTTTAACAAGACTCTCAATAATATAGGTTATATAGCTATAACCTTAAAGAAGGTGATCTTGAGGTTGCAACAGATACCTGCTAGTGA